CAACAAGACTTTGCACTTTCGCATTACTTTGTTACAAACCTAGATTAGCGATATGAACTCTAGTTTGGGTAAGCAAATTTAAATTAAACTTCAGTGACTAATTCTTAGACTTAAAATTTACAAGTAGTTATGTATATATTGCTGCGATATCCTTCGTATACCCTCACAACAACCATAACAACACAAATTAGTCGTTCGCATCGTGCTGAAACCACAAATCAGTACAGCAATAAATATATAGGGTGTTTATAAGTAAATATGGGCTCATAATAATTTAAATTGCTGATAGGCAAGTCTACAATGTCAACAAAAGGAGGCACGTCAACCTACGTATCTACTGTATACTTTCGGACCAACAGTGATAAATGCTTTAGTTACTAATCAAAATTCAAGAAAATACCGTTTTCTCTTATGTTACCATATTAGAAAACGTACCTAAACTGGAGGGATATTGGAGATATTTTTTGTACCCAGAGGAGCAGACATAACCATTAAAACAAAATGCACTGGTAAATAAAGAACCCTACACATATCATACTGCTCCAAAAATCGCCAGTGGTGATGAATTGAAAAATTACGCCAAATGCCTCACAGGTACCGTATAAAGTACATATATACATGCAGTTAGTATTCACTCAGGTGTACCTTTATTTATAATGAGATTTTCATGCAAAATTTCAGGTGCTTGTGACCAATATGACTTGAGTGATTGATGCAAAGAGAGATTCAATTTTATCAGAGCCTTAATAAAAAACTTAATTTGTCCATACAGAAAGTGCATAAAACTCTCTTACTCATTAACCGATTTCCACCATCCAAATCTCATTCCACTTACTGTTTATTCTGAAACTAATGGCAAAATAGTATTTATTGTGTTTACAATATTTTTTTATTATGACTGAAATTTTTTTGTGTTATGAAATATTTCATATTTGAACACTCGTAAGAAAATTCCTATAGCTCGTCATTTTCACAACTAAAACCTGAAAAAATGAGCTTTGAATGGGGGAATCTGTCAACAAATAAGAGCGTTATTACACTTTCTTTTAAAATGTTATTCAATAAGGGGTAACTCTAACCTTAAGAATCAGTGGTCGAAAGTTTGAAATTTTGATAATTAATTGCCCCAGGTGCAGCCTCTTACACTTCGTGACATTGAAGTGTAAGAGGCTGCACCTGGGACGTGCCGACGGTAAGGAGACGTATCATTTGTCCCAACGGAACGAAGAAACTGCATTACTTAAGACTGAATGTAAAAGGGACCTAGGTGTGTATGTTGACAATGAACTGAAGTTCTAGGGACATTGCGAGAAGAAGGTAAATCAGGCAACTAAATTATTAGGTCTTATAAGACCTGTAACCCCGTCTGGTCGCCGACACCCGAGATATGCTAGGGACTGTCAGTTGATAGAAAATGTCCAAAGGAGGGCCACCAGACTGGTGCCTGCACTACGGCACCTCAGCTACCCTGAGAGACTAGAGCGCCTGAAATTGCCTAGCTTATACTACAGACGGGCAAGGGGAGGCCTAATTGAGGTGTACAAGCATCTCAAAGGGTACTACTCAGTCGAGTGCCCTTACCTGGAGCTGGCGGACGCTCGCCCCACAAGGGGTCACAGCTCAAAGTTGAAGAAGCCGCAAGACCAGAAAACTGTGAAGGGTAACTTTTTCAAGATCAGTCTTGACAAACACTGGAGCAGGTTTAGATACATTCAGGACCCAGTGCATGCCCAGTACTTGCCAACAGAGACGTGACCGATCGCCCAAGCGGCTAACGAGCCGATCGGTGGTGAAGAGAAAAAAAAAAGTTAATATTACCCTAGATTATGAAGATTTGATAATTAATTATGCTAGTAGATATGACGACCCTTAATAATCAGAATTAATTATTACAAAATCAACATTTCGACCACAGATCCTTAAAGACCTTAGCTGTGGAAGCGCAATAACACATTACAACGTTAACAGTAAAAATGCCTCTCCTAAGTCTGATTGTTGCTGAATAGTGTAACAACTTAATTACGTATTTATAGACCTTAGTTGTTGAAGCGCAGAAATACACAGAAAAAACAACAAAGAAATATCGCCATACACAGCTTGTTATCATGTCACTCATCGCTGTGAACGTCATAGATGAGAAAATCTGTGCTGTGTGCGAGAGGTTCCGCTGCCTGGGTAAATGCTATGTTTTGCATGACGAATTACGATCGTTCAACAGACGTCTTGAGTGTTGCATCAGTGTGTGAAGCTCGTTAAAGGTGTGGAGGAGGCGGTGAAGGAGTGGCGTGTGGGCGTAGGCTACTTGAGTTCGATTTTAATACACACGAATCACGATGTACTATATCTTATTTTATGTACTTCTGTGCACTTTCCGGGTTCCTGGATCTCAGAAGCTTAAAAAAAAAGAAGAAAAGGGCAATGTCGTAGTGTGGTGGTTGGTGGTTGGAAGACGTTTATTTCATACTTGTGTTATTACTGTATATGTGCCAACAGTTCTAAGGGCGTTCTTTCCATCCTGACGGACCCACCAAGAGATTATTTATCCCAGAACCTCAGAGCTGCTCGCCTCACCTGCAGTATTACTCACTGTCCTCACTAACGCAGCTTAAGACGACTTATTGATCACCCTTATTGTACTAGACCCACTTGAAGTCCTCCCTCAAGAGTCAAGCTGTGTAAGTCCATCACAATACGTAAATTACAAGTCCTGTTTTTTAATACGCAGCCCAGTACTATATCAAGACATCCCAGTCATAACCACGGACACACTGCAGCGGCCCGTGTTTTGTGTGATGATGTAACATAAATATTACTCTGAGCTAAATTAATTATAGTAATTTAGTGATGATTCTTGAGTAAAATAAGCAATGAATTTTATTTGAATTGAAAATGGTCGTTTATGGTAGGCGTCGGGTATATAATGGAGGTATTTATTTATTGCAGTTTCTATGTTTGGTATTTTTTTTTTACTCTCTTTTCTCTTAATTCTGTTTCGCTTTGTCCCTCTAGTTTATATTATCTCCACTTTCCATTTCACTGTATTAATTTCCTACCCTCTCTCTCTCTCACTTACTCAAACCTCTCTCTTCTCACTTTATCTCTCTCTCAATCCCACAGCACCAATCCATTTATCTATCGGTCTTTATATCTCTCTGTATTTTTTTCTTTATTATGCTTCCTCTTCCTCGCCTCATTCAGTCATTTGTCCCCACCAAAGAAGAATTTTTCCCACCAAAAGATTCATTTATCCCCACCAGAGACGTTTTACCTTGCGTGACCACTTACTACAGATCATCATTTTCCCCCGCGTTTTCGACATCTCGCCCCCACGAAATAATTAAATGCTCGGACACCTTCTTTTCCTTTTCCCGTCTTGCTTAACGTAATCAGGTGGACTCGTGTCTTCCCGAATATTACATATACCGTGGGAACCCAAGGGGAGGCGTGGGAATATTGTGAATGCCGTAGGAAAAAATATCTCTCACTATCGATATAAAAATGTGCTTCCGGTATGAATAGATTCTTGTTAATGTCTCTATTACAGTCATTCTATGATGAAAATATTATTATTATTGTTATTATTATTATTATTATTATTATTATTATTATTATTATTATTATTATTATTATTATTATTATTATTATTATTATTATTATTATTATTATTATTATTATTATTATTATTATTATCGGCGATAATAGTAGTGGCGAAGGTGTGGCTACTGGGGGAAGCTGGAGGCCACGGAAATAGTAGTAGTAGTAGTAGTAGTAGGCATGACGAGGTAAGGGACCTTACAGCAAATATGTTGAAGGAAATCTGCCGGGATGTCATAGTAGAACCGACCCTCCTTCCATTGGATGGTGAGATCTTCCAACACAGGACTTCAAACACATCTAACGAAGCCCGTGTGGACGTCAGTGCTCGAGGATTCTGGACGCTGGGACAGCGAGCTTTCTTCGACATCAGGATTTTTGATCCCATGGCCGCATGTCACCGTAACCTAGCTCTCGATGCTGCACATAGGAGGAACGAGAACGACAAGAGAAGGGCATATGGGGAGAGAATTCAAAACGTTGATCAAGGCAGCTTCACTCCTCTAGTGTTCACAACCTCTGGTGGGATGGGACCAAGTGCAAGATGTTTCTACGCCAGACTCGCGGAGGTGATCTCCGAACAGAAGCAGCAGCCCAGAAGTTATGTTACAGCCTGGATGAGATGTCGACTGTCTTTCTCTCTCCTTCGGTCGGCTTTGCTCTGCCTCAGGGGAACGAGAGCTTCTGCCCCAACTCCGACAACTGCTGCAGATATTGACTATGAGGCTACTGTCACTGAATGCCGCATAGATCTGCGGCTCAACTAATTTAACACAGATAGGATAGCTACTTATGTATTAGGATATTTAATATTAAAGTAATTAAATGGTGGCGAAGGTGTGGCTATTGGGGGAGGCTGGAGGCCACGTTTTGATTAAAAAAAAAAGTAGTAGTAGTAGTAGTGGTAATAGTAGTAGTAGCAGTAGTTTATAAACGAAGTAGGCGGGCATTTTCGTTTATTTCACTTGATGATTAAACACCTAATCTAACCTAACCTAACGAAACCAAACCCCCTGGGGCCTAATAAACACCCTTTGTGACCTCTACTCCGGAATTCTTTTTTGCACACAATACACTAGCTGATAGTTGCGGCAAAATTCAATTCCACTACACCACACCACCACTCTTTAGGTCTGACCATCCACACCACAGCTCTACACATCACCATCAACACCACCACTCTTCAAATCACCATCCACACCACAGCTCTCCAAATCACCATCCACACCACCACTCTCCAAATCACCATCCACACCACTACTCTTCAAATCACCATCCACACCACCACTCTTCAAATCACCATCCACACTACACAAAGAGCCACAAGCGTGACGGCCAGCACAGCGTAACACCAGCAGGTATATATACTGAGGTCTCCAGCTCCCTCACTAACATACACTGGGAGCGCGTAATGGCTGTGACACAGGTGGGGCGTTTACTGTGACAATACTCAGTGAATTATTTTATCTTCTTTCTGTGTTCATATAACGTATTGTATCCAAGCGTTTTAGCATATCAAAATGGATTTACGTAAGTTAAAATGCAATATTTAATGTTATGATTTGATGTTTAATATTCTGAAGTGTCTTTTTTGTTGTAATTAATTTTTCAGGGTACAGTGAAGATTTTGTACTTTCGTGAGGACATCTGTTGACCATTTTAGAGTATTTCTAAACTGTGTTAGCCGCATACAGAGTGAACACTATTGTATCATAACTGCTGTAATGTACTGCTGCCTATAGAACTTCAAGTGCTTCCTGAATGTGAAATCTTTGTATTATGCGTATCCAACTTATACACTTGACTGAATTTGTGTATAGTTTTTAGTACAGTGCTGTATTATTAAGACACTGTATCCTCATCTTATGATTATTAGGTTGTTTTGAATTCTTTTAGATACGTTATTATTATGTATTTCCGTGCTCCACCAAGTTAATTCATACATCACATAATATCAAAGATGAAGGAAAATATCGAACCATTTTATCTCGAACAGAAAATCCTCCCGAGTATAGTTAGTGGTGAATATTATTGGCTGCCTTATAGTGTCGTGTTGTGACGTTTAACGGTTCGCCATTATTCTATCAAAACAATCATATGTTATACTATCTATCCCAGATAAACTAACAGCCTAATAATTACGTGAAGATTTAATTAATATACCAGCTGAAATTTTCCCCCGTTTCCTGAAATTGTGCGTATGAGGCGTACATGCATAGTACGGTAGTAGTACCCGTCGGTTAACTCATCAACAGAAGAAAATTAAATATATAGCAAGAGCAGCATAATTAGTTGAAAGTATTAAGTCTTTTTTTTATACCGATGAGCTGGATGTTGAGTGGATGATGAGGTGTGTGGATGACACTGATGGATGATATGAGATAATTTGTTCTGGTGATTTAATTATTTAAATGACTTGCTCTAAATTATAGTGACTTTTTGTGTTTGTGACCAGTTTAAATTTTCGTTTTCTTTCCACGCGACGATATTTTGAAGGTAAAACAAAAGCTTATAATTGATAATATTATAAACTCTTGCTTACGCGTCCATTCATGCAAGTGTACATAGAGGTACTGCACTTGATCATCTATACCTCCGAACTGTGAAAGTAAACCAACACCTTTTCACACAACGTCGAAAACATATGACGTTGGCATAATTAAAAGTACTACTGTGCTGATATTACGATAACAACAACAACAACAACAACTACTACTACTACTACTACTACTACTACTACTACTACTACTAATAATAATAATAATAATAATGGTAGTAATAAAATTAAACGCCTTCATTGTTAGTGCCCGGTGCTTAATGCTGTTCCTGCTGATGCTGTATGCGGGCGTCTCCTTCAGGTGTCAACGACGAAACACTCATTACAGCCAGCAATTACAAGACCAAAAGTGACATTTCCAGCTTACGTTCCTAAAGAAAATAATGCGTATAATTAGTGAGAATGTGAACTAGATCCTTATTACTTCAATCAATGTAGTATCTGTATATCAATGGGAATTACTTTCATTCCCAAGTTTTGCAAGGTACGTCACTCATGGGCTGGTGACAAAGGGAGCGCTCGTTGCGTGGCGGTAATGGTGCCAACTATAGTCGTTAGATGCATACGCTATACTGTACATTCATCGGCTCTTTAACTTTCGCCAGCGGGAGTACTTGCTCGCTCGTGATTATTATAGCGTGTCCGACCGCAATAACATGAAATCGTCTAAATATTGTCCTGTATTTTAAAGTTTTACTCTCACACACACACACAAACACACACACTAATAAGGCTAAATCATATTCAGCTAGCATTTACTTACCACGCTGACACGACCAATAATGTAATCACATATTAGTTCGGATTATCCAAAACAGATTCCTTTCATAAGACCAGTGAACAAGGGAGCCACTCACGTATACAGTTTAATAAATCGTGCTGGTAAATCAATTTCACTGACGTTGCAGAAAGTCTCGCTACGGTAGTCTAATTCATGTATGTTGGTCCTATTGTTCATAATAGGTCTATAAATTCATTATATGACTTTAAACTATACTATAAACAATATAAAAGTAATCATTTGTTTGTTTTCTGTAAACAAAGTGTCTCGCTTCATCACGACCATGTAAACAATAATCAACTTGGGGTGATGTCACGTGATTAGCGGATGGTGGCGTTACGTGAAAATTAGTCTGTGAAATTTCAATGTAAGTTTAAATATCCGCAGGGGATACTGACGTTCGCGGTGATAACAACAGTGTGGGCTATCTCTCTAACCCACTCTACGCCCACACCCACCCACACGCCCGCTACCCATCCGCAAGAGCCTTCTTCGACACTACCCGCACGGCAACATGCCTTTCCCTTCACACCAGAACCTGGCACCTCCCCTCCCTTGTCCTTCAGAGTCAGTGAAGAGGACAGCACTTCATCTCTACATGCAGCAGACCTCAACTATTTTTCATCCACATCTGAAGTAGACTTTGAGGATTTCTCATCTACGAATGCAGCAGATTTTAATGACTTCTCGTCCATACCTGCAGCAGATTTTAATGACTTCTCCATAACTCCTGAAACACATATCAAGAGTGTGTCCTCAGCCACGACATCAGAAGAGTTTAATGAGATCTCGTCCAAACCTGCAATACACCTTTATGGACCACAGCCCAAACCTGCAATACATCTTTATGAATCACAGTCCAAACCTGCAATAAACCTTTCCGAATCACAGCCCAAACCTGCAATACATCTTTATGAATCACAGTCCAAACCTGCAATACACCTTTATGAATCACAGTCCAAACCTGCAATACATATTTACGAATCACAGCCCAAACCTGCAATACACCTTTATGAATCACAGTCCAAACCTGAAACACACCTTTATGAATCACACTCCAAACCTGCATCGAGCTTAAACAAACATTTATCTACACCTGCACCACATGTTAACTCAGCCTTATCAACACGAGCCACAGAACTAAATGAGACTTCGTTCACACCTGCAACAGATATTGGTACTTATTTTGAGCCCTTCTCTACACCTGCATCAAAACCCGGTGAACTTCCATCCAAACCTGCAACAGGACATAATGAGTTACCGTACACACCTGCTACAGATGTGTTCAAGTCCTTCCCTATACTTGAAACCGATATGTTTGTTTCCCTGTCTTCAGCTGAATCAATCTTCCAAAAGCCTTCCTCCAAACCTGCACTGGACTTTAATGACATCTACGTTATGCCTTTAACTCACTCTGACGAACCCTTATCCACACCTGAAACGAACCTGAATGAACCACCGACCACAACTGCAACAGACCTTACTGAACAGATATCCAAACCTGCCACAAACTTAGATAAGTCTTCCTCCACACCTGAACCAGATCTTTACGATCCTTCATCCACATCTGCAGCCTATTTGTATATATCTTCAACCAAACCTGGAATAGATGCCTATGAGTCCCTGCCCATACCTGCAATAGGCAAATATAGGTTTTCAATCACATCTGCAACGGACCATCACAAACCTCAATCCACACCTACTACAGAGCGTCCCACACCTCCATCAAAACCTGCTACAGAGCGTCCCACACCTACATCCACACCTGCTACAGAGCGTCCCACACCTCCATCCACACCTGCTACAGAGCGTCCCACACCTCCATCCACACCTGCTACAGAGCGTCCCACACCTCCATCCACACCTGCTACAGAGCGCCCCACACCTCAATCCACACCTGCTACAGAGCGTCCCACACCTCCATCCACACCTGCAACCAACCTTTCTTCTAGGCCTTTATGGACGCCTACACTAGACCGCCGAAGGCATCCAACCAAATATGTAACAGGTTATCGTAGACGACCATCCAAACCTGCATCCCACCACCGTCGACGTCCAAACACACCTGCACCAGACCTTAAGAACTCACAATCTACACCTGAAACACACCTACGTGACCCTTCAACCACACCTACAGCAGATCATTCCGAGTCTCTACCGACACCTGTAACAGATTTTACTAGTTCTCTCTCCACACCTGAAACAGAACTTACTGAAAATTCCTCCACACCTGAAACACAACTTACTAACGATTCCTCCACACCTGAAACAGAGCTTACTAACGATTCCTCCACACCTGAAACAAAACTTACTAACGATTCCTCCACACCTGAAACAGAGCTTACTAACGATTCCTCCACACCTGAAATAGAACTTCATGACGCTTCCTCCACACCTGAAACAGAACTTACTGACGATTCCTCCACACCTGAAACAGAACTCACTGACGATTCCTCCACACCTGAAACAGAACTCACTGACGATTCCTCCACACCTGAAACAGATTTACACACATCCTCCTCCTCAATCGAAGTCATTCTCCACAGACCACCATTTAGACCTGCAATCACCCTTTATAATCCTCTCTCCACACCTGCACCGGTCTTATTAAAACGATTCTCCAAACCTGCACCAATCCTGTTACAACACCTCTCTACACTACCACCAATCGTGTCAAAACAACTCCCTATACCTGTTGTAATCCCTCACCACAGCATACCTTCCACACCTGTACCGGGGAATCATCTCATCTCCTCCACACCTGCACCCTTGATACCTACAATCATCCCTCGAGGCGGGTTACATCACCAGCCTCCTATACTTCCACGTAATAATTATCCCGGAATATTCACAACAACACCAGGTAACCACATCGTATCATCCACACCTGTAACACCTGTAATAGAGAACTACCTGACGCCGTCCACACCTGTAACCTACCAGCCGTCTCTGTCTCCTGTACCCGTTCCTACTGTGTTGCCACATCCCCGCTTCTACCCGGAGGTAAGATGGTGTTTTTCTCACGTCCTTATCAGGGAGAGAATGATAGGGGTGGCCCAGGGTAGATAGGTAGGTGTTGGGAGTTATGCTGAGGAGTGTTTATTTACCCAACCCCCAAGAAGGAATTCAGAGCCGTGAGTCCACATTTCTGACGTCACTGGTTCAGCTGCTAGATTTTGCCATATTATATATTCAAAACAAAACACTTGAAAGACAGGTTTTATCTGTTTATTACGATATTTTACTCTTAAAACATTCAATAAGACCCCAGGCAAATGTACCCAAACAAGTTGAGGCTTTTCACTACACCTGATTACAAACAGTTCCTCTCAAGCCTGTATTATACCATAAATTGATTTATAATAGATAATTCATGCTGATACTGTGCATAATACTGAATGATTTTCTGAGGTTCTCAGCGGTGAGAATATCGCGTGATTAATCACTATTCAGCCACCTCCCAAATACTCTAATGCAGACGACACATTACATGACGCACGTGTGTGTAACACCGCTCCCTGGCGTCACGTGGGGGCGTGGCAGAGTAGTACACTTCCTAAACTGGTTCCTCAATTGTCATATACATGGACAACAATGACGTCTAAGTGTATACCACAAAGACGCAAATATGACATGTAGGCATTTAAGAATCACATATTAATTATTCAAGTCAGCAGATGAGTATCCACACAATTATCAAAGGGAGAGTTGTACACACGTACACAAAAGGACATTTCAAAATAAGTGCATCGACGTCACTTAATTTGGTTTCTACTGCTCAATCACCTAATTCAAGCGAAAAATATATAGATAAAACTATGAATACCACGCATGCAAGGCACCATTCTGCCGAGTCATTATTCTAGGAGGATGGGTGGCCTCCTTATCACGATGCAAAATGTTTAGATAAATTCACTACTAAATGTATTTTGAACAATGATTTTTATCCAGTTAATTGTAGCAGAAGGTGTGTAGGGAATGGTGGTAGATGATGGGGCAGGTGTGGGCAGTGTGGTAGATGGGGCAAGAGGTACATAACTTTGGACAGTTTGGCAGGAGTCCAGTACAGGTGATCATATTGCAGTAGCTAGAATATCGGAAACATTATTGTGAATTTAATCTACCACAAATGACACTCATTCAAATCATTACCCTCTGCAGGCAATTCCAAATTATTCCTTCGAGTATGCAGTGGTAGATGGGGCAGCAGGAAGCCAATACGGGCACGCTGAAACACGCAAGGGATTTGATACCAAAGGACGTTACTTCGTCCACCTCCCAGATGGACGCCTCCAGACTGTCAACTACTATGCCAATCAGACGGGCTACTTCCCTCAAGTCATCTACAGCGGGGTAGCCAAACATGGACCCACTCCTAAATATCCTTATCAAACACTTAAACCAGTGTATGGACTACCTGGGGCAATCCCTCCAAAAACTTACAATACACTGATCAGACCAAGCCACGGACCTACACTCACTACTCTGAAGCCTGTTCATGTCTCAGCACATCCGGATTATTCTCCTAAAGCTTATAATGCTTTTCCTACATCTACACAGCCAATACTGAGGCCCACTCATTTACCAAAGCATTCAGGAATCATTACAGTATCTCCAGGTTATACTTCCAGCTCGGGTACCACAACTGCTGCAGTGTCCATCACCAGGTCACTCCCAGTTACTACACCTACTCCTATCACCTTATATCCTCCCACTCCACTGAACTTCCATCTCTCAAGGCAAGCCAACATTCCCTTAGGACCAATTCACATTCCTTTAAAACCAGTTCATATTCCCACAGCGCCATCTCTTGGTCCCCTAAAGCCAGGCAATCTTCCCATACATCTTGTACACACAACACATGGGCCACCTCTCTTGTCTGCTAAACCACCTGACATTCCACTAAAAACAATACTCATTCCCAAAAAGCCAGTTCCCAGTGTGTTAAAACCTGTTCACATTCACATAAGGCCAAGTCCAATTCCATTAAAACCAACCAAAGCGCCATACAAACCCCTTTATAAATCCCCAAGACCAGTCTACACAACATTAACGCCAACCCCTATTCCTCTACAACGTGTCCCCATTCCATTGAAACCAGTCCCTGTTACTTTAAAACCAACTTTTATTCCTTCTCAACCAAGTCCCCTTCCTTTAAAACCACTCCATACTCATTCTGGCTTATTACTAACTTCCAAAACACCCCATATTTTTCCCAAACCCCCTCAGTTTTTCATACACCACAAATCAATTCCTGCCATTTTACCAAGTCCCCATCTGCCTCCTTCCCCTCTTCATCCATTGCCTCCTTCCCCTCTTCATCCATTGCCTCCTTCCCCTCTTCATCCATTGCCTCCTTCCCCTCTTCATCCATTGCCTCCTTCCCCTCTTCATCCATTGCCTCCTTCCCCTCTTCATCCATTGCCTCCTTCCCCTCTTCATCCATTGCCTCCTCCTCCTCCAACTTTTAGTACATCTGCTCCCATTCCTCGCCTGCTTTCACCTATTCCTTCATCTCTTTTTCCTATATCTTCTGTTGCTCCACCTCTCTCTCCTCTTCCTCATCCAATTCCTGTACCTCCCCATCCAGTCCCACCTCACCCACATGGTCATCGCCCCTTACCTTTCCTTCCTCACCATCCAATTGCCTCTCATCCCCATGGTATATCTCTCCCTATCTCTAGGTCTCTTCAACCACACCCTAGAGATTTTTACCCATCTCCACCAGAACCACTCACCCCAATCCCTCATCTTCTTCATGCCAATTCCCCGCATAAATCTAATTTTCCTATACATTCCCAAGCTGCACCTGCACACACCTATACTTTTCAGACATTCCTGTCAAACTCTAGACCCTTTGTTGTCACTTCAAATAGAATGCCAAAATTAAGAGACACATTAGATCCCCATTATCTCAGAGACCATAGAAAGTATGGCCCGGCACCTCCTGATCTGTCTCACCAAGAAACTCACCTGTTAGGCCCATCTGTTATGCCTTCTATTGCTTCTGCTCCTGCCCCTGTCGTGGAAAAGTATCCTCCTGTGGCAAAAAAACCAGAAACAGAGGTTACTCATACAATATATAAAAAGGATGAACAGAAAAGTGATGAGGTATCTGATGAACTTGAAGAGTATGATGAAGCAGCTAAAGAGTATCTATAGTGCATTCTTTATTAATTTGTTTATTTATGTATTTAAAAAGTTATAAATCAAGTTTGTATAAATATATAACTGAAAAGCAGAATAGGGAGGATTTAAAAAGCTCTCAAAGGTAAGTTATCCCATATACCTTTTTTATACAACTACAGTGTAAAACTGTACACTGCAACTGTTTCTCATGCTGTAAATACTTCTAAAACACTACACAGGTCCTACACATTATTTCAACTCGACATAAACCACAGAGTGTGATCTGTACTATAGTTGGTTCCCTGCCCTTCCTTTGATATTTTTATTACAGTATAAAATTTTCCGAGACAGTGACAATCAAATTTACAAGCTGTTTAACAATCCTTTCAGACAGTTTGCACTGTCACAAATACAGTAATACAGTATTTGGTATGCTAGTCACTACTGCCATTCCAGCACTAAATAAAATATGTATTGGATATACAATTTCATCTAACCTACTGTTAGTTTGAGCCTTCCAGACAACTTTGATCTTGTTATATAATTGGGTAAGTTTCAGTTCATGAGAAGAAAGAGGTTTAAATCACGTTTTGTCCCTCTCTAACAATGAAATAATGTGGCAAGTCCCCAAGCATAAAACAATATCAAAATTGCATATACAGTAATCATCACATTACTTTTGTCAATCATATAACACCTATGTTGTTGGTCTTTTATATGTTATGCACTGTTATTGCATATCAACATATTTTTTATATAAACTGTAGAAAGATGAAATATACTAATAAATCAGTTCATTAAAGATGATGTGTTATTTCTCTTACATATTGTACAGGATTGTTCAATAAAATTTTTTAGTGAAACTGTTGGTACTTAAAGTATCATACAAAATTAGAATTATGAAGTTGCTTCCTGCATATGTACAGTACAGCATTAAGAATTCAAGTTCTATACCTGATGAGTAGATAAGTTACTATATTCTTTGATTACTTTAGTGCATAATAAAGCTTCACAATTTCTTTTTACTGAGATGTGATAAAAGTTCCCACAGTAACTCACCACAATAACGGATTTCAAATTTTTAAAATACAGTTTGCCTTATTTTGGATATTTTATGGGTAGTATTAAAAAATATGTCACTCTGGATGCTAAAATATTTTAGCATTTGGTATTACACTGTGTATCAGCATACAGTATGTTGTGACTACTTATGTAAGGCTGTTGCGTTAAGCTCACAGTTTATAATTATCTTTATTTGTGGTTCCGTGACATTTATACCACTCCAGCAATGGCTTCTGATGGTAACTGTGTACAGTACATGGTCCTCATTATTCTCTACATCTGCTCTCTTCACCTGTTTAAACCATATAAACAAACTCCCTTACTTCTTTAACCCAGTCATAGCCTAAACGCCAATGTATCGACACAATGATCACTGTAGTCATAACCACCATATGGATGTATAGCAGTGCAATCCCTTCTCAAACAGTGGGTAATTCAACATCAGATAAGGGCAAACAATTTTTATTAGAATACAAAAATATTAGTACACAGTTTCACACTGACAGGCATCATACAAGAGCTCTAACCAGCACGAGGGTTGCACCATAGGGCAGAGTCGTAGTATAACTCTGTACACCAATACCTCTCTTATTCCCAATCTGATTTAACAACACACAAAACTGACAGTAAATTATTATTAGTATTAAACAACATATTCTATTGCCAAAAAAAGGGGTATACAATTTTTATGCATTAGAATATTTATAATGATAAAAGTAAGAATAAATGGTTATGATAAAATATAGATTGCGGAGTGACCGACATGCCCCATCCGTCAATATGTCAGATAAATGCTGGTATAATTCATCACACGTTTTCAATAATAAAAGCTAATGCCATGGACTATCTGAGGCTGTCACTCAGGCTGTGAATAATAAAAGTATTGGTGTACATACATTTTACATGTCACAGATTTACAGTGATATACAGCTTCACACAGAAATCCCTATAGAAGGGCTCTTACCAATAAAAAGATTGCGCCATAGGGCAGAATTCCAATATATACCAATATACACAATGTATACATGTATGATTAATGGACTAATAGCAAGATGTACATGACAGACGTCCCATGGAGAGTGAGAGTGAGAGAGAGAGAGAGAGAGAGAGCGAGAGAGAGAGAGAGAGCGAGAGAGAGAGAAGAACGTATGGTATAAAACCTCATACATAGAAACAAATAATAGTTTTTCATAATGCCACTTTGGATGCACAACTGTTTATGTGCTTAAGAAATAAATATGCATGCATATAAAATATACTGGAAGGTCTTTCATTCTGTACTGTCTGGCAAGTATGCTTCAACATACACATAATAGTGGCCTAATTTTCATGCTCTGGCACAATGAGGTCCACAATGTAAATATTTGGGTACTGTTGTCATCATTAATGGTACAGTACCCTTATATTGTAATATCTAACCTACAGAATACAGTCGCAGCCTTTGTGCTCAATATTTTTTAACTACTGTACACTCACTGAGCTAACCTTCTAATGCTTGCACAACTCCAATAGTACATACAATAAATACATATACAAATTTTAACAGCATTTATGATAAGATATACAAAAAAATTAAGGAGAGAGAAGAGCATTGTTAGAAAAATTCTATCAAGTTAAGCAACTTCTGTTTGTAAGCTTAAACATGTCTAGATTTTATTGAAATTAATAATTTTAATCTAGATAAATAAAATAATGTACAGTATCAGTATTATAATAATATAATAAAAAATAATGTTGCAAAGATTTTGTAAAGTGAAAAAAAATAATAACTTTGATGTGTTAATTACATATTACATTATTGGAGGACATTCCCAACATCCAAATAATGAAAAACAATTAATGCACAACAACAAAAATTACTTTGAGATTACTTTTGAAGTCTATTATAACAAAGGAGAATCAATCTTCAGTTATATGAAAAGAGTTTCTGTACAGCATTTATTATTTTAGTGTCTTACTCAGGGTTCAGTCAACCTTCTTGTTTATCATTGGATGCAAGCCTACAAGTTAACTGAACAACTTGGAGCTATGCCTAAGGATACAAGTACAGTATTGTACAATAAATTTAATGGCATATCACCGTTGACCAGGTACAGAACAGCATGCACAGCTTCACTTAAACCTGTAATGTAGATTAGATCAACTACATTTAATTGCACGAAAAATATGGCAATTTTCCTAAATCAATCATTAATGGTATGTTCACAACCCAACAAAGTGCTATTCCTTCTGAATCCTCTCATAAACTGTACACTACTGCGATACTAAAACATTTACAAAATCCAAATTCCTGGCAATAAAATTATTTCTACTTACTGTGCACCATTACACAGTCAATACTTTTTAAGTAGCTGTACTTAACATTTCTATGTAATTTTGATTTGTTGAGACACTGAGAAAAGAACAGCTTAAATGTCAGTGAGATTACTCCACTAGTTATGCCAGAGCTTTTAGATAACACCACACTACCATACACTGGATATCAGGCCAAAATGAATAACCATGAAAGGTGAAACATTCACTTCTGAAGAAGAGAGACATCTTAAAAAATCATAGTTTTATAATGAATACAAAAGGAAGCAGAAGTCCTATCTCAGTCCCATTCAGTCACTGCTCAACCAATGTTACATAAACTGTTTAAAAACTGCCCGTAAAAAGGAATCAAAGGTTTCGCTTAATCATACAGCAATTCCCAAACAGATTTACAACTCTATCCCTGACCCTTAATTTCTTTAAATATTGTACTTGATAACAAAAGAAGAATACCCTGCATTTAAAATCTACACACCTACTCTACTGAAATACTAAAGACTTCGTTTCAAGTAATATTCCACGTCACTGGTAACCCATAGGTAATGCATACATTGTACATCATCACTCACTACCTGCTTAGAGGTCAAATCACCATTACAAACCTAAAACTCTAGCTTGAGAAGTCTAAACTACAATATCCCTGTATCATCTTAGAAGACAGAAAGATCTAACAAACATATATACATAAACACACATTCAGGATCATTCTTACAAGATAAAGAGTATATAACACCAGGAATATTGCCTAGCATCACATAACACTTGTACAAAATTCACTACAAGGTGAACTTCACATGCTGTCTCTCTCAAGGTTATAGCTATTGTTGCTACGGTCACACACAGACAGATATAGTCTGATAGAATATTTAATCCATTATCCTATACAGAACTGTACTGTACTTGACAAGGCTGCATGATTATCAGACTCTTGCAGCAGTTTCTGCCTCAGGTTTCACTTGTCTAACAATATTTGTGACATTAATCAATTAATCAGCCACACTCAAGAGGGCACTACACTTTCACTGACTTGTGGCTAAATAAACTAGCTGACATGTATAACCACTTCAAATATTCAGATGAGAACTCCATTTTCATACAAAGCACGCAGTTTATGACATGAAGGTAAAAATGCAAAGTAAGCTATACATGTCTTTACCTATTTTGATATATTTCATTACACCTGTGATGAGCAAACTGCCACTTGAAGGTTTGTGTGGTACCAGTTACTTGAGGTCTGTAGTGAAACAAGGTAATCCAGTCAATCTACAAAATGCAAAGCTGTTTAATCTTGTCAGTATAATCCCCATGTTTACATTCCCCTTCCTGGTGCACATGCCTCCACATGGCCCATCTGCCTTATACAACTGGACAAACTATAAATACAGAACCCACTATATTACACCCGATATCTTACAATACCAGAAATGTTCTAAGAAATTGGCACAGTTTTTTCATATACATCTTTGTCTTTACTGTAAAGACCTCTATTAGATACAAATGACAAATTAAATAAAAATTCACTTTCTGTAGTTATAATAGTTGATACTATGGTGTTAAATTAATCTGATAAGTGCCTTCTACAGTTACCATACAGTATATAATTATCTGTATAAACACTTGCCATAAGTTAAGGGGGGAAAAGCTACCAAAATCTTAACTGAAACTGTTGACTGGAAAAGTATATACAAATTATGTATCAATGAGAAAATACAGTACATAATTATGTTCTAAATTAGTTCCCATATAGGTACAGTATATGATGGCTCTTTATACAAAGCTGTACATAACTTCAGATGAACATAAAATGCCACAGCCAATGGCTATCAACATTAATGACAAAGAGTGGAGTGAACCTCCAGGAGAGGCAGGGAATAATAAGCTAACTAACAATTCCAGCTGCCCCATATTGTGTCCAATATAAAATAGAACAACAACTGCTTGTTGAGTCCCAAAAATAACTGATTGTGATTATTCAAAGCTCAACTATCATGATGAGTTTAACACCGACAATAATATTAATCATACGAGCTGCAAGGTAACAATGAAAAATTTTCAGTCAGCAATTAGCGATACAGTTGTTTGAATCTTACATAATGATATGGCAGAGAGTATGTCAACAGATTTTCACTTATCATCCAAACCTCAAAATAATGGTAAATACTCGAATTCTTTTAAAGCACGTTATTCAGTCCAAGAAGTTCTTAAATCATATGATCCTGCTTTGTAATGTTCAAAATATATAAGTGCAAATGACTGATAGATGACTTTAAAATTATTTGTGCATTCCTTAAAAAATATATTCTCAAGTCAAGCTTACATCTGCATATACTGTACAACACACTGATAGCAGTAATGAAGATCAATTCTCACTGTACCACCTCAGATTGGGCAAAGTGACATATATTTGTCCGTGGTCAGGCCTTGTCAACAAGAGCAATAGTACAGTGTTCCCCCATTCCCTTAACCATAATACCTTTACTGCACTGCTTCACCCCATTAACATTAAAGCTTTCAAGCCACTCTATTACTACATATCTCCTCTCCCATTTCCTCCATAGTATGATGCTCCATTCTTCCCTTCTATAATACTGTATAGACTGGTTCACTCTACACACTGCCTCTGCAAGCTCTCTTTACTATCCGATCCTCTTGCATTCATCTCACATGTCCATAGTATCTCATTCTGTAATTTACACTCTACCATCCTCCAAAGTTTGCTGGAATTCTTATTTTAATTAGTCATTACTTTGACGAATTAACACCCACACACACCGATAATCATCTCTATACTTAAGCACAAAAAAAAAAAAAAAAAAAAAAGGTTATTCCCATACATGTCAACCTACCCAGCTTGACAGTTCTGGATCTATGACCATGATCGACCACAGACCACTGGAGAAATAGCCATCTTATGTGAGATCTATCACCATTACTGTGGAATCATTTACTATCAATCAACTGCTGACATATTAGATACAAAATATACAGCACAATGAAATGGCACATATACTGTACAGTACAAAAAAAAGAGAACTGAGGCCTCTCTTAATGAAATGTTCTGCTTCAAGGGCCTCAAACAAAGAATTATATGGTAATTTTCTAAACCGATTTTCTGAAACTAAGTCATTATTGAATCATTAACAAACAAAACTGAACCAATGCACAAGTAGATACTCTTTTTATTTGACCTCTTTATCATTAAACTAACAATATAAACAAAGGAAGCTATTATAAGTGACCTTCAGTAACACACGACATAAATTGTACTTTACAAATTACGGATATATCAAAAAATTTCATTAGCGAGATAAAAAGAACAACATGAATAAAGACAAGTGTTTAGTGTTGAAGGCTGTAGAGAGAAGTCAAGGATGCCATATTGCCTTCAGGATAGATGTCAATATAAAACAAATAAAAAATATTCCTGTGTTAAATACTAAAAAGTCTAATCCACTTGTCAAAATCCCTCCCCCTAAAAAAACAGTTTCATTGCATCTGAACAATGACCATGTCTCCCTACAACAGTATCTCTAATTTCACAGCCAATTGTCTTGTTGTCTGTTAATATGTAACTTAAGAGAAATTAATTGCTTTGAAACTGAATTTCTTTTGTAGGTATAACTTAAAATAAAAAGTGCACCAAAGTTTAGCACAAAGAAAGTACAGTACAGTAAATATTTTTCATCTACTATATATGTTGCTTAAAATCATATCAGAAAAATATTCAATTAAAAATTTCTAAAAGACACACAGCACTTACTAGTAATACTGCAATATAATCCAACTCATCAATTAATAACTAAAATAATTAATATGTGCAAGTCAGGTGAACATATCCCCTAGTTTGAGATGTAAATAAACAATCCCACCTCTCTTGTAAGAGCTGAAAGTTCTAGTCTTGAGATCATACTAAATTGACTTATGTAGTCAGGTTATATTCATACTGACTAGAACAAACACACTTTAACATCATAAACAACTTATGCTGCACTCTGTATTACTACATGTTTCTTTTAATATGAAGAAAGAATCCCAGCATTTTTTATCTAATCCATACTTTTGTGGCAAGAACATTAATTGTCATAATACAAAAGGAGGACTGAAGTATGAAATGCCAGTACTGTATTGAGTGAGGAGAAGAACACTGTCACTAAACACCCTCTCTGTTCTCTTACACGAGGGCATTTAGTTTAATGGCAAGCTACACTATCTAGGAAGACTGGTCCAGATAGGTAAATGTGGAAGTAGAAGGCTGAACTTCCTTCTATGGCTAGAAAGAATTTTAATGAGGAAGCTAATAAACCATAGTTGATCCTTTTAATTCAGTTTACCCAAATCCTCACAGAGCTTTAAGTAATCAATGCATCTCTGAAACTCCAAATGGGTTTGAAAAGCTCTTATGAAAACTTTCCCATTACAGTACAGTATTTGTACTTGTCCACCAGGACCAGTGTAAACCTGCCAATAAACTACAGTACATTCAGAGTAGTATTTTCACTGGTTACTTACAACAACCCAAAGGTCACATAAAAAAAAAATATATAATAATATTAATAATCAACTCTTAATATTTTCTCTCTTTTGTACACACACTCACACATCACATATTTTCTTACAAGGTATGTAGAGAATCTCAATACAAAATAAACAATCCAGAATAAAACATACAACAATTGATCACACTGAAGTACAAAAAACCTATTGTCTGCATAATTTGTCTTCTTTCACTTGTGGTCCTAAGCCTATGTCCTAAGCCTAGCACTACTTTATCATGTGAGGCTAAACTATCATTTGTTAGGTCCCGCATGGTATTAAAAAATCATAAAAAAACATATACAATGACCTGGATATCTATCCTAACAATATATAAACTATTTCTTAATACTGCACTAAAAAAATTAAGGACTGCACATGAAGACAAAAATCAATAAATAGAGACATAAAAATGAGATTCTTTATTGTGTCTCTTAAGGTAAAATCACAAGTGTATTGATCCATAAACTTGTTAAAATCCTTATTACCTGTACTGTCACATATCTTTTTAACTTGTCACAATACAGTACTGTACTTACAAAATGAACAGAAAAATAAAAGTTACCAAAGATTAAGTCCGTATGGCCAAAGAAAGTATCTGCCCACTGGTATGCCTTTTACACATTGAGCAAAGCCTCTTTTACACTGGATCGTTGGCAAACTGACAGGATGAGAGCGTTGCTTATACAAATACCAGATTAATTAAAGTCAGGTCACAGTACTGTTGTCAATCATAAAATGGCAAATCCATCACAAACTAATTCAATGCTATAGACTGACAGGGTTGGTGAATATCTTAGATAACTTTTGTCACTCGGAAAGTACAATCTTAAAAAAGGCAATGATATATGAATGTTTTCATGGTAAATTTTACTGGTTGCCCTGAACTAGGTTTTATATCTCCCCTCAAGATGAAGAAGGCAACACAAGTTCAACCAGAAACACAATAAGATTTCTTATCAATTCCTTTAAAAGTGAGGATTTTGCAAGAATGAAGCCAAGCGAGGCAAACAGCCGTTATAGGATTACAGTGTAATAAGAAAGATGAATCAAATTTAGATGGCACCACATGATACACTGTAATCAAAATACACTTCAGTTTCCTCTGTACATTACTTTTATTTTACATAAAATTGCACTGCATTGTTATGTGGTTTCCTATTTTTTAAATTAGTTATAAAGGCCACAACACTTGTAGGTCAGTCTAAAATCTAACAATACAACACAAAATTTACTTAAGAGGCCAGCTCCAGGGCAAAAATATAGCTACTTCCTGCCAAAATATCCATCATTCCTCCAAAATTCATAAAACAAATATACCGTATTCATAAGCTAGTGAGAGACTGATGACGTCACAATAGGCATCAGCAATGAAAAGACCACCAAGTTAAAGGTCTTGGAATATTGGCTAACTCATATTCTTCATCCTTTATCAACACTAAAGAAGAAATATTCTCATTAGTGATGTTCACAGATTTCAAGTCTTATATTAATGACATTGACAAACTCAGAAAATCACCAAATAAATGTGAGATCTGACCTTGTGTCTGAAAATTAGGGTAGGAGCAGATTACCAATTTCATACATTTTAAAAAATATATTTCATAATTCCAAGCTTTAATCATTACAGACAGATGTAATAAAACTGCCAAATCACATTAATGTATTACTTTTTTGTAAAATATAGTTTTACAGAAATAAATCTTTTGGCAACTACCAGATTACCAGCAGTGTTTCATGCAGACTCAGATCAATGGTCACTGAGTAACAAAGACTATACAGTACACTCTAATTTTAAGAGGTTAATATAATATGAATGCTAATTTTCTTAAGTTGTAAGGTATTGTTTAATTCCCACACATATTTAAGCTGCAGGTCATAGTTGAAAAAAAACCTTTGTTCTGTAATCAAACACAGTAAGTTTACCTTCCTTGTTCAGTACTGTGAGCCATAAGGATAATTGTTTGCAAGCAACTCAAGAAACATCTCCTCTTAGGTTGTCCAAAAAATTGTCAATGAACTTTTAATAAACGAGTTTTAAGCTAAAACTCTGTTAAACAAAATAAAATTAACATCAATTCAAGAAAAGAAAAAAATCTAGAGTTGACCTTACGAGGTTACAATATGAGCTTGTTTTATATATGTATGTATATATACTGTACCTGTATACATATAGTACAAGAATTAAGAAAAACCCCATTCCTAATAAAAAGTTTGACCAGAAACTAAAGGAGAAACCTGTGACTGTACAGTAGTACTTCATCAAAAGATGTTAGATTTTCAAATTTTCCTACAAGAGACCATCGTGGTACAGCTGACAGTACTGTACATTGTACTAGTATTGAGAATCTTCATTATTTATAAGGGTGTCTAGCCATCTGTGAACAGTTATCTGAGAGTCAGTCACTTGAACAGGATTGTCAATTATATGTGAGAAGCAACAAGGTTTTGTGTATGATATATTTTGGAAATATGAAAAGAAATACACCCTGCAATGGAAATAAAGTAGTGGATGATGAGACAGCTTAGATATCGTCAGACTTCTCACTACATAATGCAATGCTGATAAACATCATAACTGTAACACTGCCTTTCACCCATGGACAAGTACATTTAAAAAAAAAAAAAAAAAAAAAATGCATTTTGTTTATCCAACTATGCTTATTAAATTTATCAACATGCTATACTGATACCCCCAAAAAACAACTACAAAATTCTACTGGCTGTCAGGTTCATTCTGCAACAAATTAATTTATGTGCAGGCCATACAGTTAATTCATAGGTACAAGTTCTCTGGCTCATTAATTACCAATATTTACAATTAATTATGAAATTAAAAAAATTACATCTTTTCTAAACTGTAAATTAGCTTTTGGTTAATTCCACAAAATAAATAATTAGGACAAAATTGATAATACATATCCCAAGTACAGTAGCTAAAACAACTATCTGTGCATATTTTGTGGGAAACAATATGAAGCCATGAACGATAAATTTTGGTATATGAGGGCTGTCACTAGTCACACGTAAAATTTCGGAGCATATTGACCCCCACCTGCACAGATAGTTGTTTTAGCTACTGTACATTCGAACTATACTGTTTGAGGTTTCCTTTTGTCATAACAATATCACCTACTGATTAGCTTCATTAAATGTGCAAGATGAAAGAATCGTAAAGGAGATGTAAGATACAATTAATGCTGATTATTGCATACGGCATCTACATCTATTATTATCTTGCAGAGTAGCACGGTCATTTTGACTTATTAAGCAGAGAGAATTATATCCATGAAAATTTTTCATGTACTCAACTATTTCCTAGATTTGGATAACTTTTGTGTATATTAGAAGAAAATAGCTACCAATGTTAAAGACATTACAGTATGGCAAACAACTGGCCATAAATACTTGAAAAGGAATGAAGTAGAAGGAAAGATGATAATCGCCATTTAGGAAGTATTTCAGACTGAAACTATTTGCCAAAGTAGTCCTCCCTTTCTATCAATTGTTACTAAAAAAAAAAAATCCCAATTTTATCAAAGAGATGTGTAGACTCATATAATACAATGATCCCTATAAAAACATCTTGGCAAATTAATGGTCTTATATCCAAACACCTCAAAGAGTGTACAGTATACTGCAATAATATGGAAAAAAAAAGTCCTCACTGCATTCATGAAGGAAAATCTCCTGTTGAAAGAACAAAACATTGTAGTCATCAACTTTCTATAAAGTGGATGCCCACCAGAGAATTCATACTGCCTACCTTATTGTTTTAATGTTAACAAAATTATCACATAACTTCAAGCAAACTTCATTTACAGTCATCAACAAGGGACCCTGGTATCACGGCCCATAGTTAACTGTGGTCTGGTGTACCTCCCTCTACTGTTTGCCGAGGACAAGGTGCTCCCACTTGCACTTCACAAAACCTGAAACACTTAACTAGGTCCTCCAGTGGGTAGCACCAGAAATCCCAACCCTGAGCTTAAGCTCTGGTATTCCCCTTACCATTATCATAGTGTCCTCAAGATAGACAGTGTGGGTCCAACGGGGAGTATCACCTCACATTACTACCCCACCACATCAGCTCCATTTCACATCTTCTCATCATAAGGAGAATCTGTTTTCTTGTACTTGGTGTACTGCGTGTCATACTGAGCTGGAGGGTTGGACTCTTTTGGTACGATGGGGAAGCAGCACCACAGAATAAATGCAATGAATGCTACAAATGTTCCAATTAGAAGGATGAAATCCTCGATGGTCTGGAAAACAAAAATCAACCACATCAAAATTCAATAAGTATCTAGATTTTAAAAAATATGCACAGGTCAGGATATATATTGTATTCAACATATTATAGTTTAAACTTTCAAGAATTTTTTACCACACCTCATCTAATACAATTTTTTAAACAATGTATCAGTACAACAAAGTGATTAAAGTGTTTCTGTAACATTGAACAGACAACTATACATATCTAATACTGTATAGATAAAAAGATACAGTAATGTTTGAAATTAAGACACTACAACATAAACACATGTAACATCATTCACAGTTAATATATAGCCAATATTTTACCTGTCATTTATGTATTTCAGGTTATTAAACATTCCTCTTAACTTGCTTCCCTTTTGTGAAATAAACAGCATCTTGCATTGACCGTCATGTGTTAAAATAAGTTCGATCTTGCATACCTTACAGAGCACTTACACTAATACTCAAAAATATCTCACAAGAGAATAGTCAAGGATACACATGACTTACTGGTTCTTCGCCAAGAAGGATAGAATTGACGAGGTATACGAAATCATCAAACGGAGTCATGACTGCTCTGATGACTCTAAAATGACACCACCAGCTGAAAGATGAACATAAAGTCATAAATCTGAACCCAACTTAACCAAATTCAACTAAACAATGCCAACGCTTATAGAGTAAAGAACATTATTTTTGGTATTAATGCATAAGTCACTATGCATTGAAATTTTAAATTTTTATGGTTGAAACCAATAGTTTAGACAATTATAAGATACGTTTCTTCTATGACATTCCCCTCACACAGCGTTCGAAATGCGGGGCGAGGGGGAGTTGAACCCCCACATTCACTTAAGACCCATGGAAATAGACTACTCAGGACCCACTGTGGGTCAACCCCCCCCCACATTTCGAACACTGCCTTCGTAAAGGATTTATATAATCCCCCCAGCAGGGGAGCAAAGCCCCCCCCGGTCAGAATGTTAGGTTGTCATTTTTGAGAGACACGTCATAGAAAAAAAAAAGTCTCTTAAAATTGTCTAAACTATTAACAGCAACCATAAAATGAATTAAAAAATTCAATACCAGGTGACAAGCAAATTTATTTATTTATTTTTTGCTTTAACTCCCTATACACAAGTCAATATAGAGTTCTGTGGTTTTAATCTTCCAAATCTTTACCGAATTACTTTAAACAGGAAAAAACTTAACCAATGACAACCTAGAATTCTTGTATTGTCAAATATGATTTAATGCATGAACGAGCAGGTGCGAATTAACAAAATAGAATGAAACCTTTCCTTGCATCTCATATTTGAATACTATTATGTCCTTCACTTGCAGGATGTGTGTGTCAGACTTAGTGTGGGGTTAAGACATGAGACTTAATACTTGTTGAACAGTAATGAAGAACAATAACAAATCCAAATAAATCACTTGACCTTCCTAATAACAATCACATACACCTTCTGAAGGCCTAACTAAATGATATTGCAAATAAGTACACATATTGAGCTCCGGCAAGGATAAATATATGTGGGAATTAATGTAAAGAGGAACAAATGTTAGGTATTTCTCCATTCAAAACACTGAAGACTTCATTATCACCGGAGGTCATACCTTACCACTGTATAAGCCTTATTTACACTAGATATGACTCCCTATTAACGTGTCTTTCATGGTATCTACCGAAGAGCAATGTATCAGCAGCAGGACACCCCTAGAGGCAGCATCTCCAGTAGTATTCTCTTGTGTTGATGATGGACTGGTCCCAGGGTAACACTTCTCACCACCCACTGATTGTATGATGATATTTTATAAATTATTTTGGAATAATTATAATGTAATTTATAATTTAAAAGAAATTTAGGTAAACGTGATATATTTCAATAGAATTTTAGTAATATATTACATTGTGCGACAAATATTGAATATATTAAGAAATGCCATAATGCTATTCACAAAGACAGAACGAACCTATTTAATCTTCAACATTATATAGATTCTAGATGAAAACCCTTGGTCGTACATGGAAATGAGTTCATTATGCCTGAAATTAAATGATAAGGGAATATATTAGAATTAAATTCTGAATGATTGTCTTTCAATTCATCACGTCTTTACATACTAAAACGGTAGTAACCCTATTGAAATAAAATTTTCAAGATATAAATATGAAAGTTGATCAATTTATATTAAGTAAGATTATTAATTCATCCTGAATATGCATATTCATTTTTTTTTGCCCTATGGGACTTAATGAATCCGGTAATACATATAAAACCAACATGAACGAAAATATTGATAACTTTTAAAATCCGGATTTAAAGAATTTGTTGACACGAACGCAGGAGAGGCATGACGTCATTTGTTTGTTTACACTCAGGAAGTTGTCATGGCAACGATGACACAAATTGCTAATTTCTTTATCTGTCCTACTCTCACCACGCCATGAGTCACCACGATGGATGGTAGAACTCATTTAGTTCACCCGTAAGTCCAACAGTTCAGGTGATGTTCATATCCTTGTAATTAATACTAGCCAACGAGGTAAACGAGGTATTGTTAGCTTACCAGATTAGTGACGAATGCATTTTGGCTACAGATAGCCTTACTGTTTATGGATATTATTTATTATATTTGCTAAATTATCATACCACAATTTGCTGGCTTTAGCACGGAGCCTTAAAATCTGGATCATTAATTTGAATTTATTTTGCTGCCTCCAACTTGGTTAGGACTTAGCTGAAAAAATTTAACAACCTTCACACTAGACCCGATGACTCATGTAGGTAATACTCATTGCAAAAGTACTAAACACAAAAACCTCTAGAAGCCAGTACTGTCAGAAGTCGTATGTTAGAAAAATATTATAAGACCTTTAAATGTAATTTTTGATAACACTTCATTGATACCTTTTTTTTGTGTAGACTAGGCCTTTTATTGCTCTGATATTTATTGTCTTGACATTTTAAACTTTGACATGGGGGGGGTACCTGTTCACAAGCACTCCTTTCACCACCTGGAGGTAATGTCAGTTTGCCTTTGCCTTGTCACTGAGTTATAGCTGTTTGTGCAGCTCTGTTGTTTTAGTCCAGCGAATCATGGTGTGTGACGGTCTGATGCCGTGCCCAAGATAACACATCACCATAGCCTTGGAAGGTAAAGTCTTCACTTCTAAAGACCATGTCATGTATTACTATTATTAACATTCCTGGGATACTATGAAGTACTTTGGATAGATATTGACATTGGATTATAGTACAGTATTTAGAAATAAAACCCAAACTATGATTGTTAAGATAGCTAACTTAGATAAAGTTTGGTGAAGTTAGGACTGGTTACTTTGTGTCTATTGTCAAAAACCATTATTTCATACACAGGTTATGAATATCTAGCTCTCTAACAGATACAATATAGAGTGAGACTCTCACAACAGCCTTGAAATAAAAGATGCACACTCACTGCAAAAATACCTTATCTTTATGCAGGGGTCCGATGAATTTCACAATAAAAGCTGCCTTCTCTCGTCTCGGTAGGGTTGTCAAATTCCTTTGACTGTTGTGTCATATTATCTCACATAAAATCGTAATGATACTTTCAGGAGCGAGTTTACTCTTTTACAACAAACTGGAATAATTGACCAAATGCTCCAGGGCCAATGATGGCAGACAAGAGGGTAAAGATGATCGCTCAAATGGAAAAACTTCACCAGGAATACAACCAACTCTCACAGCTCCTGGTGGATCAGTCACATCACCCACTGCCAAGTGAAGGTCTGGTGCTCAAGGGTAATTTTTTTTTTCTTTGTATTTCATTATTTTATTTTTATGATATCAACCCCTCCCACCCCAGTGAATGTGTCTTTAACCTTTATCTGTATGAGTAACTAAATTAGTCATCTTATAAACTTATTGCATTATGTTTAGGTGTGATAAATACTGTATTGTTAATACTGTACTCATATTTGTGATAAACTGATATTCCTCATTTGTTTATATTGTTGATGTAGAGTAGTGTACTGTATGCAGTAAATCCTCTTGAGGCTGATTGATTAAGTGACAAAGGTATGTCAGTCACATTTTAGGATTATTTAAGGTATCATTTCATAAACTAATTAAATAAAAGTTCTATTCAAATATACAGGTTGCATAGCGAGTTGTGCAACACTGACTCCTTAGGCTCCCAGCTTTAGGACAAATTTGGCTTCTAATCATCCTCTTTTGAGATTACTGTACCGTATGGTTGCTGCAGGGGAGTATGTTTATCTTTAGACTAACCCCGGCTGCCTTATGAGATAACCTGGGCTAACCAACCTCTCTGTGGTATCAAGCACTAGTTCTGGAAGGTGATATGGTGTAATTTGACTATGATACTGTATTTTTTAAGACTTAAGTTATATACAGTACTACAATTATTTCCATTACCTAGGAAGCAACAATGCTTAGGAGAAATTGTCAAATTTAGCAAGTGATATTAGCCTCATTTAAGACTGCCATTACAGGTACACATGTTAATCAAGTTCAGAGCAGCACAGGGGAAGAAGCCACAGTGGATGCCCTGAAGAGGGAAGTAAAAAATTTTACCAACCAGCTTCGTGTATTGACTGCAGAGAAAGGTGACCTAGAAAAGGCTTTACAACAGAAAAAAAATGAAAGTACAAAATATATTAGCAAACTGAAGCAAGAGCTTAAAGAATCAAAAGATGACATTGATGTTTTGAAAGACATTTTGAAAAGACTTAATGAGCAACTGAATAGGTACTGTACATACCATACAGTGCTTGATGTTATGAGAATAGATCTTTTTCTTTGTTTATTTATTTTATGGGAAACTATGTTACTTTTGCACATTTCATGAAAGTAATGTGATATGTAATGAACTCATTTATGCATCAGGTGTCAAACTATTTATATTTTTCTAGATACCACATAAAACATGGTCGACTACGAGAAGAAGAAAGAAGACCCATCACTAAGGATATTACCCGGTCGAGTATCTACAAGTTGAAATCTCTTCTTACAGCATACGATGAACTTCTTCTTGAGCGGGATGACATTATTAAGTGAGTCTGCTTTATTTGTGTTACTTTATTTATATTTTTTATTGCCATCATTTAAAAGTATCTTGCAATTGCTTTTATGATGTGTAATAATACAGTACATACCTTATAAAATTTTTGTTTTTGTTTTACCTCCCCCCAAAAAAAAAATTATATATAATTTGTATTTAAGGAGTAGCACTGAGACACATGAGACACTGATGCTGAAGGTGGACAGTGTCACTACTGAAAATGAAAAGCTCCATTCTCGATTAGAACAGCTTCAGTCAGCAGTAAGTGTCTGGGTGTTATTATTCTTGTTTTTTATTTCTGTAGAGCATCTGTTTATATACGTATGCATCTATTTACTGATATCTATCTAGCTCCAGTTTATTGTTTTTGCATCTGGTAGGTGTATGTAGATCTTTTTCCTAGCAGCATGGATACCAGACATTGATAATTAGTACAGTATTGGACACCTCTGCCCTGTTTTCAAACTTGCTGAACACTGCCTCATTTGGGTTCTCTGTTTCACCTGACGCTCCTTTTGATTTATTCTTTGACCTATTTTCTCCATTATCTTTTTAAGTATATATGCCTGACAGTTCCCAGACCCTCCTCCTAGCTTGTAATGGGCACAGCCACATCCTCTCGTATTGTGCACAAGTAAAATATGTTCATGGAGAATTTTTATCGTTATTGAAACTGCAGCTTTACTAAACCAAAAAGGCCAAACTCAATCTTATCCAGCAAGTGGGTGAGATATGGATGATATAAGCAGATTTGGATGATGCAACTTGTGTCATTGGCCAGCAAGAGGGTAAGATTTGTCCAATGCCAACAATGCAAAAGGGTTAATGGCTAGTGGATTATATATTAAATATTGCCTTATATAAATAAAATTATTTAACTTTTAGGCTCCTATTGGATCTGAGGATGTAGGGATGGTTGCCTCTGATGCCCGGCTGTTATTAGAGGAACGAGAAATTTTGTTTGAGGAGATACAGACCCTGAGACAACAACACCAACAGGAAACAACAGACCACTACCAAGAAGGTGAAACATTATTCTAGTTTGTCAAGTAATGGTAATGCATTACAGAAATATTCAAAAAGGAAATTTTGAACAGAATGTTGAGGAATATATATGGTACAGTACTAATGCCATGCATATATAGTACTTATTAAATCAGTTAAACTAAGAATACAAAGTAACTGTACACTTACATAGTTGGTATGAGCATGATTAGGTAGTTTACTAATTACCTGTATCTTGTTTTTCCTCTTCTTGAACAACAGTAAGAACTCTGCAAGACACATTAGAGGAATTGGATGTTAAAGTCCACAGCTTGTCATCAGACCTGAATTCTTGGAAGATTAAGTCTGCTCAGCTGGAGAAGCAGTGTCAAGCTTTCCAGACAGAGTTACGTGACACTGTTACTAAACAAGAGCATCAGTTAGCTGTTGATGAGTGTCAAAGGTACCTAAAGCTTGTACATTTTTAGTGTTCACCGATTTAAATTGATTTCAGTAAAGTATACTGTACATGTTCTGTGACATAAATAATTTTTTAAGGAAAATTCTGTAAGCTCCAAATCCTATGGAAATACTTGTATACAGAAATATTTTCCCCTATGCCACTGTGTCTTTGGCACAGTATGTGTAATTTAGCAGGAACACTGCTAATGTTTAAGGTTCATTTTTGTTAAATTCAAACATAGTTTAACGATGGTTTTGATAATTTGTCCTGGAGCCAAAGTTGCATAGGCTGTGGCATTATATATACTGTACAGTAGTGGGTGGTATGCAGGGAAAAAATAAACTTGAAAATGATTGAAGGTTTCAGATTTGTAAACAAAATGTATTAAGAATACTCGTCCTATGAAAGAATCTTGGAGAAAATCTAAAAATTAAGGTGACACCAAAAATCCCCCCCATCCCCCCCAAGACTTTTATTGTTTTAAAACATAGTGTACATGAGGTTTTTGACTTTGGTTTATGTCGTTTTTAAACTGAATGCAAGTTGAGACAAGGACAATTTATGTACAGTACAATATATCCTATTCCAGGTTATTTGAAGAACTACGTTTAGCCTACAGTCATGAATCTGGAAACATGAGGGGCAAGATGAGAGCAGTAAAGCATGAGAAGCAAGATATAGCAGAGAAGCTGACTGATACATCAGTTCATGCTCACAACTTAAGTGTTCAGGTTTCAGGACTTAAAGGATCATTAAGGTATGATTACTTCCTTTGTGTTTATGGCAAGAAGTGAGTTATGTATTGTTTATCACCATTTATCTTATTAACACAGCTCCAAAAAATCGTTTTGTTTTTTTAACCACTGGTTTTTGCCAACCCTGAAATACATTGAACTATCCAGGAAAACTGAGCACAGGGTTCAGCGCCGAGAGCAATCCCTGAAAACAGTGCAGTCAGCAGCTCGTTTGGCTCAATCTCGTCTCAAGTCCCTCACCTTAGTCTGCAGGTTTGTTTCCCTGTTTACTCTGTAGTCTTAGAAGCTAGAAAACAAATACTGTATTGCAATTGATCAATATCTATATGTACAGTATTTTAAATTTCTTTATAAATAATTTTCATAAAATATTACTCCTTCAAATCAGTTGTTATTGCGAGTCATTTCAAAGAGTAATGGGTCTTCATGTCTAAGTTCAATTTCCTTTATTTGGTGACTCTTTGAATGAGACTGTTAACCTTAATATTTTAATGAATTTTATTTTAAACTATAGGTAGATTAAGTGGCACAACATGCTAATAGTTGTACTTACTTAGCTACCTTATTACAGTACAGTACAGTATACTATAATGTTAGGCTAAGATTATAGTCATAGTTGGATTACCTCTAGGGAGACAAGTTTGCAATAGAGTTTATACTGTACAGTATTTGCTTTTTTATAATTCACAAATATTCTGACGTATCAAGTATTATGTTTCTTAACAGTGAACTTCTTGAAGATCGAGAAAAGCTTCTGGAGTCATTAGCAGCTCAACGAAAAGAGACAGAAGAATTGACACAAGAAGTCACTTTACGCAGTGCAGCTGTTGGGGCTCTGTCACAGAAGCTTAAGGTATGGAATATATTAAGTAAGATTAAGAGAGTATTTTGTTGGGACTCAATATTGTACGAGATTAATAATTCACACTTAAGTCTAAGGGCCTTCTTTAGACCAAATTTTCCATGTATGTAGGCTCTAGAGTCAACCACAATAGAATATTTGTACAAGAATAGAAATGCTATGTGTAGTAGGTTGGTATACAGTGAAAATGTACAGTGCATATCAAATATTATACAGCATATTCAATTACCGTGATCACCCTGTCCTTACACAACCATCCAACGAACACCCTCTTACAACACTCACTGATGAACTCTTGTAAATTTTTTATTTTATTACAGGAAGAGCGTTTAGTATGGAGTAGTCAAATTGCAGAAAGTGAAGGTGGCAGGAAAGCAGCCAAGGCTGCTTGGAAACGTTCAAGTAGGGAAGCTTCTCATTTGCGCAGTTTAGTAGTTTCCAAGGATGAAACTATTGCTTCCCTCATTGCTGATTACAAGTAAGATTTACTCTCTTTTGTTGTACTGTAATATCCTTAACACTTTTCTCATTTATATGGTTAGTTGCCTGAAGTAGATCTACTTAACTACAATTACAGTAAAAAACAAAAACATAATTCATACCCCTCTAATTCAAAATTACTCATAATTTGTAATGTTTTGCTGTTGCAAAATATATTTAACAAATTTCATAATACTGTACAGGTATTTGGTAAAATTTCAAAATATGAGAGCCATTTTGAAATATCACGATATATATATACTGTCTAGCAGTATATATACAGGTGAATTTAAATTTTCATAATATTTGGTAAAATTTGGATTATGAGAAACATTTACAAATATATATGACACTTCCACTTCAATGTAAACAAATACAGTAGTACTGTATACATGTCACCTGTGTCAGTCACAGTCAATTCATATTGGTCACTCATGGATTGCACACATACTGTACAGTCTACCGTGCAAGCTTTTTTTCCACTTGTTTTTCCATCATTGCTCAGAATTTGAGCCAATATATCTGATAACCATGGACCAAGCACTTAAATCTGGTCCAAAGGTACTGTACTGTACTGTACTGTACTTAGAAATTAAAAAATTTTGATTGGGGGAGATAACAGAAAAGTACCGTTGGTGTTGTATTTTCCCTCGGGAGAAGGTGTCCCTCATATTTCGTAAAGTCTCATAATTCATAAAGGCTAAAGCCACTATTATTTTCGAGTTATAGGGTTTTTATTGTACTGGAAATAAAATGAATCACTTATCTATCTGGTTGTCCATATCTTTTTTCCGTATGATTATGTTGGATGAAACAACCCTAAGTTGTATGCTGATTTGGAGTAAATTTATTTAAAAGTACTGTACAGTAGTCCCTCACCGACCGTGGGGGTTAGTTTCATAAAAAACCATGTGGTTGGCAAATCTGCAGTTGGCAAGACTAAAGGCTTATGGGAAATAGGGGGTTAGGTTCTGTGGCTGTGAATGACACTCGTCAAAGCCTAACCAAGTTGCCTGTTCCTTCAATAAACAATACTGTACCTGTATTGTACATTTAATTAAATTTGAGTCAAATACATATGAAGTAGCTTAATATAAATTAAATAGTACAGTGCAGTAATTTAAATTTTATGCTAAATCTCTGTGGAGATGTCATGTTGCTATGAAATAAGAAAAATAAAGAGCATGTGTGTGTGTGAAGTGAATGTGTGTGTGGACTTACCAGGTCGTCAAGTTAGACTGCCCCTGTAGCTACATCCCCCCTAGCTCTGCCCCTATCAGGCCAAGCTTTGTTATTGTTATTTTTCAGTATGTAATTTCAGGTAGATATACTTATTTTTTTTTACACTGTTAAATGCACACACAATCCTTCATACAGAATGTGTAAAACAAATAAAAGAAATGATTATCATAAGGTCAAAACAAAGAGAATATATTGTACGTACAATATAGTCTCGATTTACGCAGATTTCCTTTACGCGGTTGGTCATTTACGCGGCACCTGGCCAGACCGGCAATTATTAGTTAAGCGGTACATTCCATCATTTATACGGGAAGCGGCGCGGGCAGGGTGCGCACTAGGTCGCCCAGTCAACAAAACATTACCGAGTTCTTCACCCGCCACCCACCACAACCAGCCCAAGTCAGTGATAGTGAGGATATGGACTTTGAGGGGTTTGACAAAGAGGCCTTGCCATCTCTTCTACTAACATAAGTGTTAAACAACCTAATATTATTGATATTTCTCTTAAATATTAATTGTGTGTGCATACCATCATAAAATTAAGATGTTATTTTTACTACAACGTACGTATTGTCGGAAAAAGGGTAGTCAGGGGGTCGGCCCAGTCTCTATTTCAATTAATCCCATATGTTCTGTTATTTCATTTACGCGTTTCTCGTTTTACGAGGACCTCCAAGGGTTTAATTGACCATGTAAACCGAGACTATACTGTACATTTCTTTTGTGTACGGGAGTTAGCCCACGATCATGGGAGGGGAGCGCACTCCTGTCGTCTTAGTGAAACGATTGTTAAATGGCAATGCAGTATTTTTTATTTATTTTATTTATTAGTATTATTTTTATTCATTCCTCACATTATGGAGGAATATATTTAACCACAGAGGGATAAAGATGCCACACTATTGCATGGATACTCGAAATTCAATGCCGTGGTTAGTGAAATGGTATACAGAGTAAAAACCATGGACACCCGTAATCCACGGATGGCGAGGGTCTACTGTATAATTACTGTAAATCATTACTACTAGTGGAGTAAAGTATTTTCATAGCTATATAATGGTAACTTTTATAATCTTCAGTGCTGCCTAACATTCTCATCAACAGGAGGATAAAATGATTTAAATTAATATTGTTTACTTTAAATTTATTGAGAGAGATAAGGAATTGAGACTAAAGGCTTTTTGTTCCCTTTACCAGAATTTTGGGATTAAATTACAGTGAGGCCAAGCAGCACAATCTCCGTCATCATATTCCAAAGTACCACAAGTATCCGGGAGGCGCAGTGTGACGTTATAAAATGTGTTAAGTTATCAAAAAACTTCTTTAAAACTATGCATATACTTATACAGTACTGTAGATGTCTGTTTTTATACAGTACTTCTTCAAATCAGAGCCAATGGTTATCAAACTACAGCACTGTCTACACTTCTCTGGGTGTTATTTATTGTAACATTTGGTAGCCTGAGTTTTATTTCAGCGAGCAAAAGTAATTGATCGAGGGAATGTACGGTAATGATTACAATTAAGGAAATTAATGAAGAGATAAATCTTTACATTTTAAGGGACACCATTACTTACTAATCTTACTTAATTTTCTTCTGTAATAAGGCTATATGCCTGTGTATCAAGGTCATAATTTTTCATGGCCTACCTCATCTTTGTGGCAGGCATACTAGTGATCCTGCAGCATATATTCAAGGTTCTGTAGTCAAACATAACATCTTGATCTCCCAGTCATTTCTTGAAGGTATATACGTTTGGAGAGACTACCTCCTTTTTTGGTAAGCTGTTACATATTTCTGCGCTGTGTACTGAGGAGTTTTATTTCATCTTGGTGTGTGGACACGTCTTGAACAGCTCAAAACTATGAATTATGGTATTATTGCCATTATGTGGTCTTACTGGTGGGTATGATTTCATATTGTATCCCATACTTCATTTTGAAAGTTTGTCACATTCCCACATATCCTGTGGTACAGGACCACAGTGATGAGATCTACTTCCTCAGATGGTCAACATAACTCAAGGTTTTCAGCCTCGGTATCAATTTCACTATTCTCCTCTGAATAGTTGTGATGCAGGGATGTCTTTTGCCTCATGTGATGGCTTATTGAAATGACATACTCTAAATAAAGTTGCACCAGGGCCTCATATACTGAAGGTTTCTGCTGGATGAGACCCATCATGTGGTTTGCCTTCTTAATTTTATCATTTTCATAATCTTCAAATATCAGTATACTGTTACCCACCACACCCAGGTCCCTCCTTTAAGTCACTCATTTTAGCTCTTTGTGAAATATGGTCTGTGCCTTATGGATTTCCTCTCATACTACCAGCAGTCACACCCTTACATTTTCTGGATGGAATTGGAGTGACTGCTGTGCAGTATATGCTTAACCATTTCTGGAGATTGTCTAGGTCCATTGATAGTTGTTCTTGATCGTGAACAGACATCTTTGTCATTAGCAGAGGTATACTTCAGAGAACATGTATTTATGTCAATCATTAATGTATAAGAAGGAAAATGTTGGCCTTATTACCCTATTAGTCCAGCAGGTACTCACCTAACATGAAATCCATTCAGACCAAAATCCATGTACAGGAAATTAATTCTTTGCTGTCTCATTGAAAACGAAGGAAATTCACCACTAGGTTTTATCAGTATCACACCCTGTAGCTGTTGAGCTTACTAAGCAAATATCGATGCAGGACCTTCTCAGATGTCTTCATGAAATCCATACAAATAAAATTTAATCTCCCTCATGTCAATGACTTTTGTCCAGAATATATAACAGTTGGAGCCTGGTGGATCTGTCACTCAAAGCATTAGTGCTTGTTAATGAGGAGTGGATTATTTTATGTGGTCCATTATGGTCTAGTATGATGGACTCCATAGCCTTGCAGGTGATGCTCTTAGGTTGTCAGAAATGTTCTGAGTTACTTTCTTGATTAGTGCTGTTATGTTTTAAAGTTTTTCACTCTTCCAGCAATGTACCTGTTCTGAGTAGTGGTTCAGGATTATTACCAGTGGTCTGCTAACAATATTATGTATCTCTTTGAGTGTCTTAGAGTGTACTGTACTGTGTTGATCTAGAGGTTTGTCCACCTTGATCTTCTGAAATGATGAATAGAACCAGTGGTTCCCTAAAGGTCCAGTGTGGAGGTGTTGGTATTTAATGAAAATGATTCCACTGCTGTATAAGTTAGCTTGAGAAGTACAGTACTTGATGAAAGTAAAATACTTTTCTTCTGAAAATTGGTATTACATGACAGACTTTGAGTGGTATTTGAGGTAAAAATGGGTTTGAGTAAAAGTAAAATAGTTTCCTGAGATAGTGAAACTATGAATATACTTGTAGTACAGATATATAGAGTCTAGTCATAATGTTATATTACTAGTCAGTGCCTTCTCTTGACTTTTTTCTTATATTAAGGGTATAATTTGTGAAAACAAGTTAACCAAAGAAATTCAGATGTTTTACTGTGATGTTTGAGACAGGTAAAGAGCAGCTTGTATCAAAGGCATGTGATAGAGGTGTAGTAATAAGGTGCTGGGCCTGTTTTTCATTGCCGTTCATAGAGATGAATTTTATATATATACAGTAAATATCTTTTAAATTAAGTCTGCATTTTAGTAGGAAAAAATAGTTTTTACAAGTTAGCCAGAGGTTATTAGAAAAGATGATGAATGATGCTTTATATCGGCTATTATGTATACCTTAATCTGAAAAAAAAATATTCTAACTTTTTTATGTAACTTGTAGTCATCCTGGACACAGCCATCAGGTCTATGTCCAGATCTTTCCATGTTTATCTTCCTCCAAGTTTTGTGTTGATTAATCATCTGTTCTTATAATCTTATATATAAACTAAGTTTCACAGCACTGTTCCAAATTTATTTGTTCAGTACACACTGCAGTGATACACGTACAGTACTGACACATGTTTACCACTGTTTTCTGAGTTTATGCTTATACTAGGCGAGCTACCTAGCTTTACCCAGGTGGAGGGACAGGTGATAGTGTACAACCATTCTCTAGGTCACCTACACCTCCCTACCAAATTTCAGCTCAATCTTCGAAATTGGAAATGCATAAGGAACACACACACACACACACACATATATATATATATATATATATATATATATATATATATATATATATATATATATATATATATATATATATATATATATATATTTTCTTTACACATTCACACAGCACAGACAGATTATTAAATTAACCCCACTACCATTGTACTGTCCAGTAAACTTTCCTTAATTCAGCCTTATTTATTTTAAGTTTTGGAAAACGAAATTTTTTTTTAGTTTCCAAAATATTTACTGCTTTTTCATACTAAATGATTAGCATAGTATACAAAAAAGCGGGGTAAATAACCACATAATAAAAAAGCTAGGCGTTTGTAAGAAAAAAAACATTTGCCTTGACAATTTGGGTTGCATTCATAAGTTGCCAACAGTGTGTAAGTATCTTACATCCATGATAAAAAAGTAAAAAAGTCCTCCCTTGAAAAAGTTTCATTTTCTTTTATCGCAACAGAGAAAATAGATGTAAATAAAGTTTCATAATGAGTTTAAATGCGGGACTTTTATGACACTGAATGAGATTAAATATGGGAATTAAATGACTGAATTACTTTAAAGGTGTTACCGTAATTTTAAAAGAGACCAACCGAGTATCATTTTAATTAAATGGCGTACAATAATAATAATATAGGCCATTTTTTAAGGGAAGCGTCAGAGAAAAAGTGTATTGCCTGAACTTGATTGCAATGATAAATCCAAGAGATTCGGGTGGTGACAATAATAATAATAATAGGTTCCACTCCTATTGATGTGTTTCTATTTCATTATATCCACTTTTAGGCAAAGAAAAACAAAACAATATTATCATGCACATGCACAGTTTGTTAACTTGACGACATACATGATTTATGTATACGCCTTAATTATATTTGTAATATAACATTACTTAATGGAGGTAGAATGTTAGCCTGTTTGTAATGACTGATTTTACATACTGTACACCATCCTGACATGTGTGGACTGGAGTATTTTTTTTATAATATTAAGCTACAGTTTCTGACGCCATATGCACTGCCTTTTTTGTCTGAGACGAATAATAAAATTTTATATGAAAAAAGACCGTGGTATCATTTACTCAGTTATATGCCGGTAATCGTAACGCATGTACTGTACAACATGTATTTTTTGTGTCGGCCAACGGAAGAGATCCTCTGTTACAAGTCTAAATAAACCCATTATTATGTGACGTCGTTGGCCGAGGTTGATTTTCTTGCCATCTGTCCTGATTTTCTCATCCCCTAGTACACAATCCTTCAGATAGCTACTGGAACTTCCCATGTAATCATTATTTTGATGATATCCCATTCTTATTATTAAAAAAATATATATATTATCAATCCTCTTTTTTCTCTATTATTATTTATACTTTTATGATTTTGCTCCCAGTATCAGTGTAAAAGCAATTAGAGATTATCTAATAGATAATCATAAGCATATGGGCTAGCTATTTACGTACTGGGGAGGGGGGGGGGGATACAAGAATTAAATAAAATAGTTAATGAAAATAATAAAAAATTTTAGTGATATAATTATCATCATCTCTCTCCCCAAGCTATTACAGTAAATCAGTGAATACAGGTAAATATGTGTCGAGGTTTTCATTTTATCAATATGGCCACTAGATATATTACAGGTAACAAGGCTATACAACAGTTTCTGGCAACAAATACGTACTTGTCTCTCCACACCCGGTTTCCTGGCCGAAAGTTAGACTTTTTTTCTGTTTTTCATCTTTTGGAAATCGATGAAAACTCAAACTTTCATCATGTAGTCTGTAGTTTGATATGCACCCAAATGCGGAGCATTTACTGTATAAGGCATTGTCATAGACCTACACACCACAATGGCCAGCTGGTAGCAGACCTAGTGAACTCCCACCCCCCGGGGCTGCCGGCCAGTTGACGTCTTGCGCGGTAAGAATGAATTTTCGACTCGAAGTGGGTTGATTTGGTATAATTAGACTTTGGTGACAACCTTCTTTACATAAATAATAATAATAAAAAACAAAAATCTAAGTTAAGAAAATAAACCTGAGAGTGAACTTAAACTGAGTACACAATAGTTTTAATATCCTCACTTTTGTCTCCTGTCATATAAATAACAATTACAAACAAACAACAACCAAGTGATGGTCCATACACCTCGTTCATTAACCCCACCCACTGATGACGTCACTATCGAATTAGGTCTCGACCACCACCACAATAACATCCTTCTACCTTCTCCATCTACCTTCTGTTGCATTTTCTAACTTTTAACTATGTACGAGTATCTCTCACCATCAACCTCTCAACACTTGTATCAGTTTCTTTATATACAATCATTCCTGACACTCCATACATCCCCCACAGTTCCAATCAATCATCAACTCTTACATATAAATCCAACACCATCTCACTAAATCTTCCGAGACAGTTAATAATGTCTTCCCACACAAGAATGCACCTCTCATATCCTACCTCTTGTATATTTCACGACTTAAGACTGATCTTTTGCACAATTCATCACAACACCACTACTCCTCTCACTCCTTTACCACTAGACATTTGACTTTACTCCCTTCACCTGACCCTAGCTTACCTCTCCCTCCTCCATCTTCCGTTTTCACATTAAGCAAAGGCCTCAAAGTTCATGTCAATAATAATATATCACATTATACGGCGATTATTTCAACACATCCAAACACCCTATCTTAGTTATTTTGTTTTGGTAACTTATGGTGGGCCATCAGAACCCCCTCTCCAATCTGCACTGAAGATGTATTCGTCAAGCCTCCAGGGTCATGCTAACTTGGCACTGTACCTGTAAGATGACTCCACAATATTTAGGGGTCACCCCACCTGTTGAAGGAATATTTCTATATATTGTGAAACCCTCCTGTAAGCCGCGAAACCCTCCTCCTACCCTCAATTTTACCCTTTAATAACTCCACCATTATCCCCTTATCCCTATGTGTCTTCCCCTGGCCCCCTTACCCTCAATTCTAACCATTAGTATCAATAACAAACCACAATAATAATATATATCTACCTTAAGATGATTTCTTGTAATATTTCCATCAAACTCATCCAGGTTATCTCCTCTCCTGTAACAATGGCAGGGAAATAATTAAGGTAAAACAGACAACTTTCTCTCACGAACCTCTGAGAATCCTGCCTCTCCGTACCTGAGACCTCCGTTGTCAACAGCGAGTAGTGCCTTGCCAATGAATCACCACACCACCGTCCTGAAATGTATATACAGTATACTTTTCAGCACACATACAGTACACATTACCAGGTATCTTATAAACTATACAAATTAGCTAGTATCAAATTTACTCATGAAATCTACACTTTGATATAACCCATATATATACATACCTATTATCAACATCTATAAAAATTATCTACTTTTATATAGAACATCAAATTGTAT